TTAGCCTGGAAGCCATGCTCAAATGGTCCTATCTTCTACCACAACATTTCCCTTCCCGACTACGAAAGTATGTTTTCATGAGTTTTTGCACTTATACAAATAATGGACACGAGGACTCGTTTGTTTTGTCTGCGAGCCTCTGTGCGTCTGATCGGAGTAGCTGAGCTTTTAGGATCACAGTGACTGGATTTGTGCGAGGTGCAAATATAAATTCAACTCATATCCTTTCAGCGTCACAACTGCTGACCTCATATTCAAATCTAGATACTTGTAACAGGAAAACGTAACAGGAAAACCAGTGAAATCACAATTTGAAAATTTTGAAATAATTATCCTGTACTTTGGGGTTTCACGGAAATCCCGCAAAAGATCGGCAACTGAGGCAAAAAAACACGCGAAATCTGTTTTCAGACCTCGTTGTTTCCTGATCTGTGATCTCAAGAACAAGCTTAGACTCACTTCTTAGCTTCCAACTTCTGAATATTGAAATTTCCATCTCCCGCAATAGCTTATATCAAAAAGCATAATAGTGATGGCTCTCCTGTAGTGCTCCACCAGCTATTTCAAATTTTTCGTCCGGCAATGACAGGTTGGTAATTAGAGGTTTCGGTGAGGATGAGAATGAGATAAACACATGTGTCGGCTTGCTAACCTCTCTTGAACAGTGCCTAGCCAGGTGTTCCTAACGAAGTGTGCGTTCGGCCAACACTGTTGCCAAATTCCGCAACGGGCATGCATCACTGTTGCTGATAATTGAAGCTAAAAGGAAGAGAAGTGCTAAAGCTGCTTTTATAGATCGCAAATCGTATCCGATCTTAGCCACGAAGCCGTTCACTGTGTTGGCAAATATAACGAATAATGGTGAAGAGTATGATAATGTGGAGACATATATGAAACTCTGGAAATGGGGTGGATGGTTCGGCTGCAGCTGGTATCGAGTACCAGCTTTCGGAGTCCTGTAAGTTTCACAAAGAGGAACAAGAGACATACGCCCTTCTTTTTCAAGCAAAAGTATGATAAAAGTGCTCCATCATATTGCATTTTATCCGAAGTATAAAACAAGCGAAAGCACACTAAATGGTACCAAAAGGAATGCCAACAGCAAATAAATTTTGTACTCTAAAGGAAAATTTCTTATTTTTTGGTCCTTTTCTCCAAATCCAGGGTTCCTTTGTTTTAGTTGAAGTACGGACAGAGCATATTTAAAAATCTAATTACTATTCAGTGCTGGACTTTTCGAGCGCTCGCCTCTTTATAAAAAGTAAGCAAGGAAAAGGTCTTCACTTTTTTCGATTCTTTGGAAAAATTTACAGATCTGAAGTTTTTAGTTTAATTTGCTTTAAGAGCCTAAAACTAGTCAATGAGCTATTTTTGATCCAAAAAAGCTCCTTTCAGCATTCAGCTC